TAAAGTCCCACAAATTTTTCTAAGCTTACAGGCTGCGCAATTAGTCATCCGCCGCTTAGTATGGATGGTATGCACTGATAATGTTCATTCATAAATATCTTGTTAACTTTCGATGTAAGAAAATTAGGTTTTACTATTAAGAATTCACTTCCTTAAAAAACCTAAATAAGCAATATTTTTAAGAGGTACAATAAATAAGGTCAAAAAATGTATGTAAATAATGGGTAATAACGTTTTTCAGTAGATGGCATTAAATTTCTACTGGGTTTAATAAAATTTCAAATGACTTTCTTACTATTCAATTTAACGCTATTAGAGTTAGACTGGAATTTTCTATTCAGACATAAAAATTTCATGTAAGCACACATTACAATGAAATTGACTTTATATTCTGAAATTGAGTATATTGCAAAACAGCATCCCCACTTCAAATGTAATTCACAGTAGTCAATAATATCCATATCTTACATGCAATGCTTGTGTTCTGTAGGTTTTCAGCCTGTGAAACATGAAACAAGCAATTTTAACAAATAATAATAATACCTAGTAATGATTTCATTCGCTTAAAACACTTTTCACAAAATTCAGTCGTTTATCCTATCATAACATAACATTGAGAAACTGAATTTTTAACATTTTCAATTTAAATAGCCAAAGATTGCATTGATGTACAAAATAATGGCAAGAACGAAAGTGGAGTTTATCAAATTGATCCTGATGGTCAAGGATCTTTTAATGTCTACTGTGACATGACTTCATATGGTGGTGGCTGGACTGTATTTCAAAGACGCCAGGATGGAAGTGTTAATTTCTATCGTGGGTGGAATGACTATAAAGAAGGTTTTGGTAATCTTAGTTCTGAATTTTGGCTTGGATTGGATAAAATATACCGACTAACATCAGCAAGGAGAAATAAACTTCGTGTAGACCTGGGAGACTGGTCAGGAAACAAAGCATATGCTGAATATGATTATTTTTCTGTAAAGAATGAAAGTAAAAAATATCAACTAAGTCTTGGTAAATATTCTGGTAAGTTAATACGTAAATATAAACGTTTGAGGGAAAAATATTTCGATATATGCAATATTTTTGAATGATTTGAGTGATTACAGTTTGCAACGGGGGATTCTCCAAGTTTTGAAAAAAACGGATAGTAACGGTTGGTTTCGAACTAAAGCCTTGTTTGTCAATTAAAGTATAATTAATTTTGAGCTTAAAAACTTACCGAAAAAATACAACAAACAAACGTAAAGTAAAAAGTCGTTCCAATTTCGAACAATTCTGTCGCAAAGATTGATTGTGACATGTAATAATTGTGATTAACTTATCATCAACATTAAATGCAAATTCAACTGCAGCTTTGTAAATTACGTAACGATAACCTAGCACATGAGCGACATGTAGGTAATAAACACAACTAAATTATTTGGTACATAAGAAAAAATCTCTACTGTGAATACCATTGTCTAATGATCAGTGACTGAAATCTTTTTTATAAAATGCAAGCATTGAAGTAAGCCCTAGTAAATAATTGCAAATGCAAGTTTCAATGCCTAAATGTTATATACATTATAACTTGTTCTTACATGTAAAAGTTTTTTATGAATTTAGCAACAACCTAAACATAACAGAAATTTATTTAAGTTTACATGGACAATTCACATTTAAAAGCATGAAACACAAATATAACAATTGAGCCTCGGAAAATACCCAGGTACGCCATTAAGTAAGGTCTGTTTCATACGTCAAACTTTACATACACCGAACAGAGCCCTCTATTTGTAAGATTTGGGACATGTATTGTTCTCTCGTTTGCGAACGTTGACTGGACAATATCGATCACATGATTAATTTCCGCCATTTTCGTTCCTAATTTTGAAATTTGAACTAGTGTTTATATGGCGATTGTTATAAGTTTGTTTGTATTTAGAGAAAATATTTTGATTTTTTGGAGGTATGGTTACAATAATTGATTAATTGGTAGCTAAAACATGTAACTGCATATCGCCATAATTATGGATCGAGAAAAAAGAAAGAAATGGCTTTACGATAGATTGGATTGTGCGTAGTGACCATTGTGTCTAACTGATCTTTATCTAAAGGTTTATTTACGAAGATTGTTTTCGAGTAAAACATCATTGGAAATATTTCTCCTAATGCTAACGATTCAATAGTTTTCTTACATACAAAGCCTGTTCTTTATAGAAAGATTATGACTTATCATTATGTTCGGAAATTACTCTAATTTACAAGTTCTTAACCACTTCAAGAGATAATTATTGCTAATCCAATATGCTAAAATAATATACTTTCGAATATTGTATTTTGCATCTTTAGGAAATCCTTTGAAAGTATAGTATCAGTAATCATAAATAAAATATTTACTGAAACAGCTGGGTAAAATACATTACTGGTAATGAAATACACATTCTGACTGTACTTCAAACCAGAGCATGTTCAATTTGGTTATCAATGATTTGTTCTGGTCTTTACATAATCAATGATTTGGTGTGGTCTTTGGTCTTTATAATTTGGAAAACATGCAGAGATTTTGTCATTACTGAACTTATTATTTTTTTAAGATAGATTAAAACTTGGATCAGACTCATATACAATGTCAAAGTCTGTACAAACAGTGACATTTGTGGCAAACAAGACTGTTTTTCAACAGCAGAATTGTTTTATAATACACAAACATAATTTCCTTTTCAACAAATTCTTCACCAAATAGAAGCCTATACCGTTTTGCATTAGAGTTAAACTTTAACTATAATCTCAGTTTCACAATCAATAAGAAATCAACAACTTCACATTAGATAAATAGAATATAAGAGCTACTGCATCTAACAAATAATTTAAATTCATAATTTTCCAGCAAAAACTTTTTGTAATCTATCTTCATTAAATTTTTATGCCTGGACTACATTGCAAAATATGTACTACCTAAGCAAAATTTCACGACCACAGTGCTTCAAAACAAAACTTGGATAACACTGATTCAATGGTAGGCACAGTTTAAGTCAAAATAAATTATAGCAGCTCAATTGTAAATTCAAAATACTTTTTAGTTTTAGAATAAGATTATTAGTGGTGAATTTCTAAAGAATATATTTTTACCAGTTGAGTCGCCTCTACGTTTTCTAAATGTAAATATAACCAAAAATGAGCTGCAGTGATTTATTTTACATACCTTATACCTGAAAAGCATTGATTCAAATCTGGAGATATGTGTAGTAACGTGTTTTCCCGAACAGGAATATGCAGCCAAAATGTCGAGTATTTTCTTTATCGCTGGTAAATTATAAGCAATGAAAACAAATATCTTGGTGCTGTAGTAGAAAACTGCGAGAATATACGTTCACATACGTAAAAACGTCTAGCAGTGGGTCACGATTAGTTTAAAAGCACAAACTAGTCAATGTATCTAAAATCTGCGAAATTGAGTTTGGTTTGCAGTAATTATTCACAAAAACGCGAAAAGCTTGATTGTGGTTTCCGATATGTTTAAAATTTCCTATAAACAAGGCGGAATTTTATTATTCTTTTGCTCATTAACCAATTTCACACAGTTTTATTTCAAGTTTAACTTGCAAGTAGTCACGAAAATGGCGGCTCAGCGCTCACCCCAGACCCGTTGTCCTAGCTCTTACAAATAGAGGGCTCTGGCACCGAACACATTAAAGACAAAAGAACCATTGTCAAATGAAGATTGACTGAAGTCCTTTTTATATCTAAGCCTCTAATAATCAATTGTAAATGCAAGTGTCAATGCCTAAATGATATATACATTAAACTTGTGTTAATGGAAGTTCAAAAGAATTCTATAACTGCATTAGATGTGATTTTTGAAAAGTATTATTTTTCTTAGGAAATGCTACAGATTCATTACTTTATCATAAAGACATGGCGTTTACAACAAAAGATTCAGATAATGATAAGGAACGTCGAGGAAACTGTGCCACAATCAGCAAAGGTGCTTGGTGGTATAACGATTGTTATAACTTTTCTAACCTGAATGGGCACTACTATAGTGGACCATACAGCAGTTGGAGTGGTGTGGTTTGGTATTCTTGGAAAAAAACACAATCCTTAAAGTTTACTGAGATGAAAATAAAACCATAAAGAATTTCCAAAGACTGTGATGTTATAAATTTGATCATTATTTCTAATGAAACTTTCAACATATAATAGAAACATTTTAGCTTTTATGTCTTTTAAAACAACCTTGATGAAATTGTTAAAAATGCGTTGGTGAAACAATACTTTTCTAATATTTTCCTAAAAATTAGAGCTGATTTAGGTAATTATATGATTCTAATGTTACGTCTTTTCACTCATTTTTAATGAGATGTTGCTCTTTAAAGCCCGGTTTCCATATGATCGTTCCTGTCGTAGGATCGTCTTTGTCGCTTGCAATTTGTAGAAGCGACAGAGACGATCATATGGAAACGCTCAACTCAAACGACAAAAGCGATCCTTACGTTAGAAACGATCCTTGCGTATCGATCGTTTGAGATAGACTAGAGTTCTATCCTTGCAACAGAAACGACCGGAAACACCTTTACGCGCTTGCATTTTTAATGGAAACCGGTGCAAAACGATCGTTACGAAGTAGCTAATTCTATCTTTTCGCCCGTTTCACGCAATCTTGATGTATCATGCATTTCATGCAATTATCTTACATCATTATTCACTATGTAAACAATGTAACTTTGATTGGTCAACTACCTGCAAATAATTCTACATATCTGTAGGTAAGACGTCTATTTACAAATAACATTTTGTCATGAAAAGCCGATTTTGAAAAAAATTCAAATCATCACCCGTGTCGCATGTTCTCAATCGTCTGAAGCAAGACTTCTCTAATTGAGAACGTCGCATGTGTGTGATGTAGGAGATCCTCTAAGCGTTCTTCTTGACGCCATATTTGATTTATATATGCACCAATCTATATATCATCAACACACGACATGCACACGACACACGTGTACCTTATGAACATGGCGGCAACTGGAAAACAGTATGAAGTATTAACTGACTTGCAAAAAGCTATCTTGAAATCTTATGACGATCAGGGAATGAATACAACCTCAAAGGAGAAACATAAAACAATACAAAAGGCAGCTGATGAGACAAGAATTACATTTGAAAAGGTGAGTGAGTATTTCTACCTACTTTTTACTTGGAAGGGCAGGCTACCCCTGTACTCTCAGAATTGTGCGCACTAAAATGTCGTATCCAAATCTGTGACCTCAACCTATTTCTAGGTTGAAGTATTAACATACAAATATTTTTTAGAAGGTACTAAAATTTTTCATACGTAAGTTTGTTTGGAAAGGCATATATACGCAACTACAAATATACACGTTAATGATGTTGCATTGCCTATGTTGAGAAGCTGCGCATTATTTCTTCGACTAGATGCGCTTTTAGAATAATCACAAAATAAACTTAATGGTAATATTTTGGCCTTGCGTGATGTGCTTTTGCATAGGAAAGACTAAAATTAAGAATAATTTGGGATATCAAATGATTTGTGTCGGAATGATTTTGTAGCAGTTTTTGGTTTGAAAAAATATCAATATGTTAAATTCAATTCTAGTCCGTGATACTTATAGTCCTTTTTATGAAGATTCTTTTCTTGCCATTGTCTACGTGCAAATGAAGTGAACATTATACTTATAAAAGATAGCTTTTACTATAAAACATATAAATTCATTTTTGACGGTGTGAATTTCTAGCTGAAAATCTATCATATGAGCAAATTTGTATATTCCATTTCATTCATAGTAATTTATTTAAGTCAACGAAGCTCGTTAAGAAATCTGACAATTTGTGTAATATCTTGCAGGTTTAGTTACATCAAGCAGTAGTAACTGGAATGATCCAGCATTGGTAATAACTATTTAATATTTACTTTATGAGAAAGTACATTTCCTTACCTCTGTCTTGAGTATTTATAAAAGAAGACGTTTTTTTTGATAAACATTATTAATAATGAAATTGACCGACAAAAAGCAAATTGCCGTATACTTTGTGTAAGACTTGATGCAACTTGTCTCGCAAAAAACTCTGACCGCTGCGATGTATCAAGAAAAAGCAAACGGCGTAACAGCACAGCGCCCAAATCGATGGTGAAAAAACAAATTTCTATTATTTTTCCAAATGAAGGCAGATTTATTGATATAGTTCTACTGTGACGTCTTCTCTCTCATTTCTTTGACGTTTGTGGTGAAAGTAAATTGCAAAAAATTTTGATGTTTTTTGCTTTGTTCTCACGCAATCTTGGATTTATCATGCATGTCATGCGACTATCTGATACATTATCTGGTTTGTGAAGCAATAATATTGTTCCCATCCAAGAGAATGTTTGCACAGCACCTACAGACAACACAATATATCTAAATATTTGTTGTTCAGTTTTTAGAGTTACACCATTACAGTTATTCTCAATTTGAGAATTTATGTAGAAATTCACACACAAATTAATACAGTTTTGCACAATTTTATATCTTTGGAGTGATTGTTATATTCGCCAATTAGCATATTTATATAGAAAAATATATTTTGGTCATTTCGGAATCCAAATCAAGGAATATAAATGTTATATCCTTATTTAAAGGTCATAAAACTGTAGTTAAAACATACAAACACAACTTTGAGAAAGTTTTAATGGTTTACATTAACTTTACTATAGTCAGAAAACTGCATTTGGAATTACAACAAGACAGTAGTGAGCACAGTCTGTGAGAGTTTTCAACCGGAAAGTAACGTAATAGCAAGTAAAGCAATAGAAGTGACAAGGGATAAATACCAAATAGATTGACATTGGCGGAAATGGTGTGGAGATACTTGTATATATTCAGAAGGAATTTCCAAATTGTCGCCACACATAAAATAAAAGCAAAGTGTGAACAGTCTGTGTAGACACAGCGTGAAATTTATGCTCACGCTTGCGTAGTAAGTTTTAAAGTTTCTAGCCAAATGATCAAACTCATAAATTATAAATGCAAAATGCTGTCATATGTTAATAATATTTTTCTTTAAAATCAAATTGGAAACCAAAAGTAAATCCAATTTTGTGGATATGAAACTCTAAATTACTGCTATAAACAATAACACAATAGCCAAAAGAAATCATTGCAGTTTTTAAAATGCAGATCACCCCGCCTTGAGAATGAACAAAAAATACGCTGTCAAAGACACATTCATTTTTACATAACATTTAAGCCTATTACTGCTAGTAATTGTAAATTCAAAAGAAACCCCGTTATTCAAAAAGACTTTGAATGAAAATGCAAACAAACCTTAGTGTTTCTGGAGATAATTTACATACATGCTACATCTGTATAGTACTCTCTTTTATCACTAAAATATCGAATTTCGCGATCATCAACGACTTGTGATGGTATCAAAATTGACACTAAACATCACAATGGATTTTACCATTATCATGACGCAATTGTCTCCAGGTTTCTCCTCGGAAAAATTATTGAAATGATTAAAGCATTCCAGTCGACAAAAGGCGTATTCCTGAAAGAAAAAGAGCAGTAATCAAGCTGATAAAGTCATATTAACTACACCTCAACGTTAGCCTTCAGGAGGACCATAACATCATCTAATTATACTGAAAAGGCAATCTTATCAAAATAAAACTTACAAAGGAGTAATTGAGAAAATAATTACTGCAAAAATGTTAACACGTTTGTGTACATGCTAGTGGAGCAATTCAACGTTCTTCATGGACGCCGGAACGTCGATAATAGGGAGGGGGGAAAATATTCATATATGTGTGTTTTAGCTGATTACTTTTTTTTGAAATGAATTGTTTTTTAAGGAGATGTGACTACGAATATATGAATATTCTTCCCCCCTTCAATTAAAGACGTTCCGGCGTCCCTGACGTCCTACAATACATGAATTAAATTGCACGCAAATAACTTGGTTTGCCTGTTTTAGTTTTAATAGTATTTCCTTTGAACATATTTTACTGAACACAAAGAGAAATGTTTTTTATCGATCATTTATAAAACAACTACAATAAAAAATGCGTACGCAACTTGGTGTACAGCTGGGTTTTCTTTTGCTTGTGAAAATGTGGAAGTCGATCTGAGCCACTGAACTAAAATACATGGAACGCTACCAGTAATAGAAAAGCCTAATAATTTTTTGAAGCCAAATTTTACACCCAGACACGCGAGATTACATCCAGACACGCGTGTGTAGTCAATCAATTTTCACTCCGCGAGAAAATCTCGAAACACTACACACGCGTATCTGGTGTAAGATTTGGCTTCAATTATTTTCTTAAGGTAGCGTTCCATCTGTTTTTAGTTTAATGATCTTAGCTTTTATTAACTTAACATAACAAGTTCCTGATCTCAGTTCTTTTTACTGGAATGTGCTAACATTCACGACATTATCAGACAAGGAGCATGCATTTTTTAACATCATTGTAAGACTATGACTAGTAGTAGTAGCTTAAACAGAGAAGGACAACGTAATGCATACGTATGTAGCTACGTATAAAAATAAGCATTCATTTATCATGTAAGAAATAGAAAATATTTTCCGTGTTTCTACACGCGAGAAAGTTTGAGAGAAATAAGAAGTTGCCTGTCAACTTGCACGAATTGCGACGGCGAGTGCTTCTGAGCAATTTTGAGTTGCTCAGAAACTTTCACAAGTACGTATTTCTATAACTCAATGGAAACAAGTAAATATGTTTTTTATTACATTCATAAAATAGCCTATTAAAGCAATATTAAAAAGACAAATTTATTGACATGTTCTTTTAGAAATTTTCTTATAAAGTTTCCGCACACACTATGCAATCTGCGATACTTTTACGAGACTGTAATAGAGTTTCTGAAACACGGAGTTTTCGGGCATTCAACCAATCAGCGCCCGCGTCTTCAAAAATATTTTGTAAATTTATTTTCAACCTACCAGAAAATCAAAGATGAAGACAACTTTAAACAGGGAAAACCGTCAGTATCATCTACTTTTCTAGCTAATCCTACATCGTACGTACGCTCAGTCAGTCATAATGTATGATATCAACTATAATCACAAAATCATGTTAATACCTCACCTGTAGACACACTAGTTTCCCAAAAAGGTCTCCCCCATGTGACCTTGCCGTTTCTCCCTAGTCCCCGTGACCGTTCGTTGTTTGAGTGACTGACGTTATTTATAAACTGAGTACTTATCATTATTGCATAGTGACATAAATAATAAAAACGACACGTCAATAATTGTACCCAAAAGCTTCAATTTTCATCCACTTGACAATAAAAATATTTCTCGGGTAATAACGCAAACACTATAGATTGATATCGTAATTAAAGAACTCATTATGGAACTTTAGGAAATTATACTTCAAACCACAAAACAATACAGGACGTGTGTACAAGCTACGTTTTTAGCTAGCAAAGGTTTTAGCTAGCAAAGGTTTTTAGCTGCGAATCAAATTAATACAAACAAGGTGGACTTTTGTTAATTATTAACTATTAATTATTATTATGATATGTGTTATAGGAAGACATATTCTAGTACTTTATGATTTATATATGAGTTTTGTCTTAATGTGTTAGGTATCACAAAAGAGATAGTTAATGTGAACAATGTTTGTTCACCAATAAACCAATCTTTCCATTATCATCAAGCAAGAAAATATTTCTACAAGCTTCTAGGAGTTAAACAAAAATCGGCTTTTATGGCATTTAAACATGCCCAAAATATCGGAAAAGTGCTTTTCTATGTAATTTAGGTAAATTGAACACAGCTGCATGTGCAAAATATAATTTATTCTTCATGATGGTGACTATATAATTGTTGCCAAAAACGTTTTTCAAACATAAAGTGTTTCTTTCTTTTGTGCAAGATGTTGATGCGTGTTTTTGTGATTTTTCTTTTAGTTGCTTTCTGCAATGCATCAAATAATGCTTGTCAAAGTTCACAAAGTGTTTTTATAAAGACAAAAAACAACGGTATGTTACAATATAACAAAGATAATAATAACGTATATGAATTTAAGGATATAAAAACTCGTATGTTTAAAACGCGCATGTTTTAAAAACCATTTTTGTGTTTATTAACTTAACGCGAGGGAAACATATTTTTCGTTGAACCTTTAACAAAGCTCGAGGTCTTCACCGAGATAAAATCGACCGAGGGCTTTTTAGCTATATACAGAGAACATACGGCGAGGTTATCTACTCAAAGACTAAAATCCAATATTTAACGGTAATGACCGAGCAGACAAGGTTGGTTGGCTTATTACATGACTTGAAACAAATCTTTCTATCTAGCTTGATTGGTCTTTAGCTTGATTTGCCAGTAAAATAATTTCTTTGAAATTGTGTCATCACATCTAAATAATAAAACTTACTTCTCTTGTGTCTTTAATTTCTTCGACTCATTTTCGTATATTGCTTGCGTTCAATGCCAAAACTTGTGTAAAAACTCTGGTAGGTGAAAGCTTGTAAAGGTAATTCATCCGACAGATATATAGTTATAAAGTTTATTAGTTTTGTTAATCAGAAATTTTATCTGCCACCACTCACGCTTAATAAAAATCATGCAGTTTTGCAAGGATAAGTTTACACTTTTGAAATGACATATAATTGGCAATACTATAAAACTATACGCCTAAAGGTTTGGGCTCATTTGAGTTTATTTATAGAAAGCGTCTTTATGTAGTGCAGCCCAAGAATTTTTTTGTTAACTGCAGGTGAAAAACGTATATTATTCTTAATTTCTCATCTTTATGTTTGTGTTACGGAATCTATCTCCCGGCTAAGTTTGATGTTGAATTTCTACATCTAACAATGCATACATGAATTCATCAATCGTTACAAGTAAAAACAACTAACTATACGTTGATACAAACTTGAGCCTAATTCACACGACATTAGCTAATCTGGGCTCAACCAAGATTCAAATGTATCCTCAAACCCATAAGACGTACAATGCAATAGCTTTTTTAATAAAACTTTTTTTCAGGAAAAGAACTGTGCAGATCTTTACAAAAAAGGTGAAAAAAATAACGGAGTTTATGTAATTGATCCAGATGGCCAGGGCAGATTCCGTGTCTTCTGTGATATGACGTCATCTGGTGGAGGTTGGACTGTGTTTCAACGTCGTCAAGATGGAAGTGTAAACTTCTATCGCGGTTGGAAAGACTATAAACAAGGATTTGGTAATCTTACTTCTGAATTCTGGCTTGGATTGGATAAAATATACCGACTAACATCAGCCAAGAGAAATAAACTTCGTGTTGACCTGGGAGACTGGTCAGGAAACAAAGCATATGCTGAATATGATTATTTTGTTGTAAAGAATGAAAGTAAAAAATATCAACTAAGTCGTGGAGCATATTCTGGTGAGTCAATACGTATATATAAACGGGAAAATTTCTAAGCGTAAGTTTGACATATGCAAAATGTTGGAATGATTTGAGTGATTGCAGTTTGCGATGGGGGATTCTGCAAGTTTTGAAAAAAACGGATAGTAACGGTTGGTTTCAAACTAAAGCCTTGTTTATCAATAAAACTATAATTAATTTTGAGCTTAAAAACTTACCGAAAAAATACAACAAACAAATGTAAACTAAAAAGTCGTTCCAATTTGCGAACGATTCTGTTGCAAAGATTGATTGTAACATGTAATAATTGTGATTAACTTATCATCAACATTAAATGCAAATTCAACTGCAGCTTTGTAAAGTACGTAAAGATAACCTAGCACCTGAACAGCATGTAGTTAATAAACACGACTAAATTATTTGGTACATAAGAAAGAATCTATACTGTGAATACCATTGTCTAATGTTCATTGACTGAAATCTTTTTTATAAAATGCAAGCATTGAAGTAAGCTCTAGTAAATAATTGTAAATGCAAGTTTCAATGCCTAAATGATGTATACATTATAACTTGTTCTTGCATGTAAAAGTTTTTTATGAACTTAGCAACAACCTAAACATAACAAAAATTTATTTAAGTTTACACGGACAATTCACATTTATAAGCATGAAACACAAATATATCAATTGAGCGTCGGAAAGTTTCCAGGTACGCCATCAAGTAAGGTCGGTTTCATAAGTCAAACTTTACATGCACCGAACAGAGCCCTCTATTTGTAAAAGTTGGGACATGTATTGTTCTCTGGTTTGCAAACGTTGACTGGACAATATCGATCACATGATTAATTTCCGCATTTTCGTTCCTAATTTTGAAATTTCAACTAGTGTTTATATAGCGATTATTACAAGTTTCTTTGTATTTTGAGAAAATATTTTGATTTTTTGGAAGTATGGTTACAGTAATTGATTATTTGATAGCTAAAACATGTAACTCCATATCGCCAGATTCATGGAATCGGGAAAAAAGAAAGAAATGGCTTTACGATAGATTGGATTGTGCGTAGTGGCCATTGTGTCTAACTGACCTTGACCTAAAGGTTTCTTTACGAAGATTGTTTTCGAGTAAAAAATCATTGGAAATATTTGTCCTAATGCTAACGATTCAATAGTTTTCCAACATACAGAGCCTGTGCTTTATAGAAAGATTATGACTTATCATTATGTTCAGAAATGACTCTAATTTACAAGTTCTTAACCACTTCAAGAGATAATAATTGCTGATCCAATATGCTAAAATAATATACTTTCGAATATTGTATTTTGCATCTTTAGGAAATCCTTTGAAAGTATAGTATCAGTAATCATAAATAAAATATTTACTGAAACAGCTGGGTAAAATACATTACTGGTAATAAAATATATATTCTGACTGTACTTTAAACCAGAGCATGTTCGATTTGGTTATCAATGATTTTTTCTGAATATTGTATTTTGCATCTTTAGGAAATCCTTTGAAAGTATAGTATCAGTAATCATAAATAAAATATTTACTGAAACAGCTGGGTAAAATACATTACTGGTAATAAAAGATATATTCTGACTGTACTTTAAACCAGAGCATGTTCGATTTGGTTATCAATGATTTTTTCTGGTCTTTATATAATGAATGATTTGGTGTGGTCTTTGGTCTTTATAATTTGGAAAAACATGCAGAAGTTTTGTCATTACTCAACTTATTAATTTTTTAAGCTAGATTAAAAATTAGATTAGACTCATATACAATGTCAAAGTCTGTGCAAACAGTAACATTTGTAGCAAACAAGACTGTTCTTCAACAGCAGAATTGTTTTATAATACACAAACATAATTTCCTTTTCAACAAATGCTTCACCAAATAGAAGCCTATACCGTTTTGCATTGGAGTTAAACTTTAACTATAATCACAGTTTCACAAGCAATAAAGAAATCAACAACTTCACATTAAATTAATAGAATATAAGAGCTACTGCATCTAACAAATATTTTATATTCATAATTCTCCAGCAAAAAACCTTTGTAATCTGTCTGCATTAAATTTTTATGCCTGGACTACATTGCAAAATATGTACTAGCTAAGCAAAATTTCATTACTACAGTGCTTCAAAACAAAACTTTGTACAACTATGGATAACACCTATTCAATGGTAGGCACAGTTTAAGTCAAAATACATATATTAGTCAAAATACAATATAACAGCTCAATTTTTACTTTTTTAACATTCGCTCCCTCCCGAATCTGGATTTCTATTTCTGCTTATATTAATGACAACCAGCGAAAACAACCGCAATACCGTAAGCATAAAATGTTGAAAATAATGCTTCAAGTTTTTGTGAAATAGACATACACATTTAAATGAGGTAAATCTACTGGAAAATAACGTACATTTTGTCAAATAATGTTTAGCTATATTAGAAATAAGTATCAAACGGCATTCTTAACACTGTCAATGTGTCGTTAAGCTTTGATGCATAATACCATGCGCAATACTTGTGTTTTTGACTGTTTGTGAACAGCTTGGTGCAACTGTCTTTCTTAAATAGATGGGTAAATCTTAGTTAGAATGTCCAAAAAGGAGTTAGAAAAAGTTAACTTACCCCTACGATTTAATCGACTGGAAATATATTGTAAGTAGGTATGTAATTTTTTTGAGTTTTTTTGGTAAGATTGATTCTGGGTGTCTTATAAAGTATTATGATATTCTGATAAATCTACTAAGACCTTATGAGAAAAATATCTTGAACTAGGAGAGCAAAAGAACAAAATTCAGAAAGTCTATAATCATGTTGCTGGTTCTGTTTTGAGCTAAGATATTAGAAACTGGATTGTCATTGACAACCATGGATCTACTACTGAACAGAACTACATTAATTTACCATTGAAAGTACTATTTCTTAAAATTAAAGTGCATTGGTTTCTCTGACATAACACTTTTCTTATTGCTGCATGAAGGCAAACCTGTTTAAATAATTATAATGTAGGTAAAGATATTTAGCATGTTGTATAATTGTTATTGTACAGTCATTATTTATAATATTATGGCCTTGTGTTATGTATGTCAAGAAGAACTTATTTACTCTCAAAAATGCTAACCTTCTTGCACAATTTTTCTCTTGTGTCCTTACAAATTACAGTTACCTATACTAATTTTTTTAGGTTCAAACAACTTGAAAACTATTGAATTTTACATTATGCCTTTGAATTTTTCTTTTTGTCTTTTGGTAAAAATATCAGTGAATGACTTAAAAATCAAGTTTTTCTAATATAGGATTTTGTACAAAGTAACTATACATAATTGGAAAAGTCTCATGTTGAAGACAGATGTCGCTTCTTTTACTGGATTGCTACTCTTATTCTTTTAAATGATATCCTAATTCTTCAAAAGACATAAAAAGTTCTTTGCCATCAATTTTTGCTTCTTCCACATTCAACTTCAACGCAACCAATGCATCTTATGTGAATTTTTAATCACCTGGAACTGAATAACGTATGGATTTGTCAGATGATGCAGTACTAAATTTAATGTTTCATGCATGTCATCATAAGCTTTTCTTGAGCAAATATTTCAAGGTAGGCGCAAAATTTGGCACATTATTGAACAAAGTAGTTTTTATCTTCATTTTGATGTACTAACCTATTTACTACCCTGCATAACAAACAATTCATTTACAGAAACACCAGATGGCATTTATAAAACTTTTAGCAAAAAGCAAACCTTTACACACTATCATCATGATTTTCCATAATCTGTCAAATTGTCCAGGTTTGCTGTTTAATACAGGTATTTTTACGACATGTACCAAATCGTTCATTAATTAATCCTGCACTGCATTTGATTTCAATACAGTTCTTTCCTTAATATTTGCTTCATATTTTCAGAAAAACATCATGAACAAATCCTCCATTTCAACTCAGTTGAAACAAGGAGTTTTAAGATATGCATATCGCGATAAGAACTGGTTGCTTTGCCTCGTCTAGCAAGCGATTAAGTAAAGAACAAATAAGACTGCATAAATATTACTTAGATTATAACCTAGGAGTAAAAATATTCACAAAATATATACCATCACACTTCAAGTATTGACTTAAATCAAAACACAGAACACTTTAAATAGTAAACAATCTTACGTTGCTTACCGGTGTCATGAAATGTTTCCTTTGACATTACTTCAGCATCCGTATACCAAACAAGTTTGCAGCATGTTTTAAAGATAAAATTTCTAAAGTTTTTGCTTGGCATTGATAATTTATATAATCGCAACTGTGGTTGTCAAATCCGGGTGGGCGAAAAAATTTTATTTTATGAGCCCGCGTCTTTCCGCTGACTTTGAAACCAAAATCCGCCATGTTATTGACCACACGGCCGCGCGCTAATAATTTATAGTAATTTGGTTGACATTTCCTCCAGGTCTTATAGAACTCAATGGTCACAATTAGTTTAAAAGCACGAACTAGTCAACAGCGAATGTAGCTCAAATCCACGAAATTGAGTTTGGTTTGCAGTAATTATTCACAAAACGCCAAAAGCTAGATTGTGGTTTCCGATATATTTAAAATTTCCATCAAACTAGGCTGAATTTCTTTATTATTTTGCTCATTTAGCCATTTTCACACAGTTTTATTACAAGTTTAACTTGCAAGTAGTCACGAAAATGGCGGCGCCGCGCTCGCCCCAGACCCCTTTTTCTAGCTCTGGCACCGAACGCATTAAAGACAAAAGAAAATGAGATAAAATTCCAAATTATCTGTTGTTTTAAATGCATTCGGCTTATTTAAAACGCTACGTATGAAACAGGCCAAAGCAAACAAATTTTGAAAATCTATAATATAATAAGAATCAGTCCAAGTAACAATTGAGATCAATGTGAATAGACTGGGTAGAGAAAAAACTTCAGGGCAATGAAGGTGGGGTGAAAGAAAGTTAAAAAGCCTTCGTGACATGTAGCTAATTCGTAGACAACTTTTACTTTTGCGATTTACTTGATTTCGAGAAGGATAAATGGTTTAATAAATTAGTAACAACAACTATAATACCAGCGATATTGTCCAGTCAACATAATTGTGCATGATTTGGTTGGGACTTCCGCAATTCTTAAGGAGAATTGTAATAACATCAGCTAAATGACGTAAAATTTTTCTGAGCAAAATTACTTTTTTTAGGAACTGCTGGAGATTCATTACGTATTCATAATGGCATGGCGTTTTCAACAAAAGATTCAGATAATGACAAAAGTGGAAGAAACTGCGCCACTGTCCTGAAAGGTGCTTGGTGGTATAATAATTGTCATTCTTCCAATCTGAATGGGCACTACTATAGTACAGCATTCGACGGTGGGAGAAGTGTGAGTTGGTATTATTGGAAAAAAAACAAAAAATCCTTAAAGTTTACTGAGATGAAAATGAAAACCATAAAGAATTTTTAAATATTGTGTTTCTTAACTTTCATGAATATATCTTATGAAACTTTGCATAATATTGACATTTGATAATAACTCTTTCAATAGAACCTTTACAATCATCATTCTTTTAAAACAGCGTGGAAAAAATTGTTGAAAAATGCTGTGGTGAAATAATAATTTCCTTTCCCAAATGATGGCAGATTTAATGCTATAGTTTTGCAGTGACGTCTTTTCTTTCATTTCTTTGACGTTTGCGCTGAAAGTTAATTGCAAAAAATTTTAATGTTTTTTGCCTCGTTCTCACGCCATCTTGGATTTGTCATGCATTTCATGCGACTATCTGATATATTATCTGGTTTGTCATGAAGCAATCTTGTTCCCGCCAAAGAGGATGGTTGCACATAACCTATTGACAACACAGTGTGTTTAACTCCTTGTTGTTTAGATAGAGTTAAACCACTAGATAATTCATTGGAAAATTTGAGTAGAAATTCACACACAAGTGAACGCAGTTATACACACCTTACATTTAAGCCCATTACTGTTAGTAATTAGAAAATCAAAAGAAACCCCGTTATGCAAGAAGACTTTGAATGAAGACGCAAACAAGCAATTGTGTTGGTGGAGATAATTTACATACATGCTACATCTGAATGACATTCTTTCTAATCACCAAAAAATGTACTTCACCCTAAACATCACAATGGATTTTACCATTATCATGACGCAACTTGTCTCCAGGTTTCTCCTCGGAAAAATGCCTGAAATGATTTAAGCATTCCATTCGAAAAGGGCGTATTCCTGAAAAAGAAAGTAATCAAGCAGATGAAGTCATATTAACTACAGCTCAACTTTAGCCTTCAGGAGGACCATAACATCATCCCATTATACTGAAAAGGCAATCTTATTAAAATAAAATTTACTAAGGATTAATTGAGAAAATATTTACTGCAAAATGTAAACAAGTTTGTGTACATGTTAGAGGCCCATTCAACGTGCAATAATGCACCAGTTAAACTGCATGCAAATAACTCTGTTTGTCTGTTTAGGTTTTAATAAAATTTTTGAATTCATTCGTTTTCATTATTTTTATTTCATAGAAGAAACAGAATATATATTTCGCAAAACATGTTTTGTTTAGATAGATAATTTTATTTTAACACGATTACCATTGTCAACATACAAGTTGATTTCCACATGGGGCGTGTGCAAATAACACTGGGCAATGGTGATAAAAGGCTTGTACCTCACAGTTCTTTTTAAGAACTGTTTAAACTACCATCTTGCAGTTAACGTAATATTTGCGTAAAATTTTCTATTTAAGTTGAGGTTCGCATTTCTCTAGATATTTTCTGACGTTTTTAAATACGTTGTTTGTGAGACTAATACGTTGTATGTGAGATTAATACGTTGTATGTGAGATTAATACGTTGTATGTGAGACTAATACGTTGTATGTGAGATTATTACGTTTTATGTGAGATTAATACGTTGTATGTGAGATTAATACTTTGAATGCGATATCCTTCGGTTAATAATACAGCTGGGAATTGTTTTATATTGATTTGATTCTTAAAAAAAATCCGTGCAAAGTGTTACGTTGCTTTAACGTTTGTCCGCAGTAGAAGGTGCTCATTATGTACAAATTAGTAAGACAATGAGATGCACAACGTATGAGAGATTTTGAATGGTAACCTCTGTTCTGAATAAATCCACATCGAGAGAACGTAGTGCAAAAGACCATGCATTTACACAAATGTTTGTGAAGTAACGCAAATTATTTGTAAAAGATGATGAAGTGGTGGTTCGCATTTCAACATTGTTCGATGTAGAATGTTCCTTATAAGATATGGTATTTTAAAAATAGCAAATGGTGTTTAGGATACATTACCACGGTACGACAATACAACAGCAAAAAGGCAATTCAGTCACGTGATGTAAATCTAACGGTAAACAACACTATTGAACAATTCATCTACTTACGAGATAACCAAAATTGATCGAGGATTTATAACTTTGAAGAATTGAAAACATCGCCCAAAAGAAATGAGAAAGAAGAGACAATCTATAGAAAAAGGAAAACAAAGCTGATGTTATTTCATAAATATTTTTAAAACATACGTAAAATTAACATTTATTCGCAGAAAAACAAAACCGACGCCAATATGTAAGCACTTGAGTACAAAAGGTAAAAAGTTACTTGAATAGGCTGTGTAATAAAAGCCTATAAAGGTATACATAAAACCGACCTAAATTAAATGGCGTCATTAAACCCTAAACTGACGTATTCCAAAAACTAAACCTTAAATAAACGAGAACTACGTCAGTCAATCAGTCAAGACATACGTACTCATAGAAATCTAAGAATTTCCAAAATTTATCTTGCGCTATATTAATATAAGAGGACGATTGTTAAAATATTTACCTATCAGCTTCGTCGATAACTTTTTCAATCTCGTCTAACGTGACGTCAGTCGTTTCATTGTAAGCTTGTAAATACGCACGGACGAAAAATACCTGAAATTTCGAAGAGTTTAGAATAAGAATTTTTCACGAAATTTTTATTTCATGAGCCCGCGCCTTTCCGCTGACTTTGACAACCAAAATCCGCCATGTTTTTGACCACGGGCCGCGCGCTAATAATTTATAGTAATTTTGTTAACGTGTTCCATCCAGGTCTCATAGAACTCAATGGAAATACCTCTACGGCAAAACACCGACGACAAAAAACCTCCACGGCAAAACACAGACAACAAAAAACCTCTACGGCAAACACCAGGGGGAAACCTGCACGGCAAAACACCGAGGGAAATACCTCTACGGCAAAACACCGAGAGGAGAAAGCAAAATAAGCAAAGAAATCAAAAGCAAAAAGAAAACACGAGAAAAACAGAAATAAAGTACTGAGAATAAATAGTTATACCGCAAGGAAAAACACAATCATCACATCATTAACACATGGTAGCTATAAATGTTGTAATTCAAATCAAGCAATAACAGATAGCCACATTGTAAACAGCAGATCATCCTTTTCATATGAACTATAGTTCGGGGGTTATTTTTAACCATAAAATTGTATTTATCTTTTCTGAAATTATTACATATATTAGTGAATTACCTTTTGATCATAAGAAGGATATTTGGTGACGTCTCCGGTAAAAAAGGGATAATGTGGATGATTATAATCAAATATCCATTCACTGAAATGATTACCAATATCGTATCCTCTTAATCAAAAAATAACAAATATTATAAAAAAGTTTGACAAGGTAAACGATGTTTAAAATAAGAAAAATTGAACAGTTTTGATGAAATAAATAATTTAAAATGTTCAAGAAGAAAGATAAGCAACCGGTTGAAAAGCATTATGGGTACAATATGGTTATTTTGTTGCCAGCTCTTCCCCCCTTGCTCAATTGATGACTGCTTTAAAGCCCGCCGCACACTGGTGAACTTGCCGCGCGTTCTCGTTATTCGTGACAAGTGTGATCGACAAAATTTCCTAGTGTGCGCAGAAGTTTTGAACAACATTTGTCATTCATGACAGATGAGTCAAATATCAAATGCGCGTTTGTTTAATTTTGTCGATCACACTTGTCCCGAATAACAAGTACGCGCGGCAAGTTTACCAGTGTGCGGCGGGCTTAAATGAACAAACAAAACCCTTGCTATCATAATATTTGACAACTCTACGCAGCGCAAAGATGAAATAATATTCCAGATATAGAACAAAATGTCTCCTTTCTTCCTTCCTCATTTGCGGTTTAAACGAAAATCATCCTTCTCTCTTTTTTTTCACCTGTAGTTATAACAAGAATATTCGAAATCAATCACACGAATTTTTGCCTCATCGAGATCTTCATTTGCTTTCACCAACAAGTTTCCTGTAGGTATTTAAATTATATTTAACCTTTATTAAAAACCCATAATATTCACAATAACCTAGTTGGAAATCTTTACCTGGTTGTACGTCATTATGGCAGAAGAAAACTGGTGATTGGCTGTTTTCAACCACGTGCCTAACACATCAACAACAAAATAACAATAATGTAAGCAACACTTAAATTCATTCATCCTAAAACATCTTTTTGGCACATAAGTATTTCCAGTTTAATTAACTTTGTACATGGTTTGTGCATAGCATTTCAGCAGTTAATGTCTCATATTATATCATTAAATAAATTAATGATTTGTGATTATGTGAATTTAAAGTACTCAAAAATTTATTGTTTTTATTCATTTAGTACTGTGGTTGATTGACTGTGTGTCCAAATAAGTAAATACGTCATACAATTGCTTCAATATAATGTTCTTCTTTTTAAAAATTCTTAAGTAAAGGCTACGTAGTCCAAAGGCAGCATAATAAAAAAAAACGCAGAAAAATAAGAAGCCATTATTATTCTATCATGACGTTGATATTTGATCTTCATCTGGCATGAAGCATACATTTTTTAACATCACTGTCAGACTACTGGCTAGCAGTAGTAGTAGCTTAAACAGACAACGACAACCTAATGCATATGTATAAAAATAAGCATTCATTTATCATGTAAGTAATAAAAAAAGTTTTCTGTGTTTCTAAAGTTTGGAGGAAAAAATAAATTGCGTGGCAAGCACGAGCACGAATTGAGTACTTTCAATGAATTTCGAGTTGCTCCAAAACTTTCACAAGTATGTATTCCATTCATAAATTAAAAGCAACATTAAAAAGACAAATTTAACGACATATTGTTTAAATTTTCCGTGTCCACGCAAACCACGCAATCTGCGATACTTTTGCGAGACTGAAAAAGAGTTTCTGATACACGGGGTTTGCGAGCATTCAACCAATCAGCGCCAATCATAAATTTATTTTCAAAATATCAGAAAATCAAAGACTAAGACAACTTTAAACAGGGAAACCCATCAGTATCATCTACTTTTCTAGCTAATCCTACATTGTACGTACGCTCAGTCAGTCACAATGTATGATATCAATTATAATCACAAAATCATTTAAATACCCCACCTGTAGACACAATAGTTTCCCAACAAGCTCCTCCCCTCCACACGTGACCGGTCTCCCTAGTCCCCATGACCGTTCTCTTTTTGAGTAGCTGACTATTTTCCATACCTGATAAATTTGAGAATTTCATCAATATCAAATTTATGAAAAATTTCATCCAAGATCTTTAATTTATCAACATTGGAAAATTTAAGACCTTTAATTTCCTTCACAAATCTATCAAAAAAAAATAGACTATGTACAATCGACGGTATTATATACTGTACACTGTGATAAAATAATAATATAAGGACATGGTGAGGTCATTTCGAACAATATGAAGTCTTGAATATATTTTAAAAAAAGTTGTAACAGAAAGTGGGTTTACTTCAAAACTAATTCAGATTGGTGCAAAAGATTCAAAAAGTCAAACTCACATTTGAAGTGAATCCAAAAACCAAGTTCCTTCCTTTGAGAGAGGAAGTTTTAGCTTATGAAACGTAGCAACATGCTCAGCTATTTGTTGTGATAAACGAGGATACTGGACTTCCCGACTAGTCAATGCTCGAACCTTTAACAAATTACAACACAAGTAAATTAAACTTTGGTAAACAATGCAAAAATTAATGTTGCGAAAATTTCAACTATTTAACAGTTTAATTTAAAAATTTTAAATTCTTTCCAACACAAATGAGAATGAATTTATAATTTTTCTATACAGACTGTATAGTGAGCATGAAATAATCAATACTGATTATACTACTATCAGTGGAATACAAACTCAACTGTGCAAGAACAGATTTAAATTGATATTAAAGCTGGAAAGCTAGGGCACGTTCTTTCCATACAAGTAGGTGGTATACTCACTATAAAAAGATAAACTTTCCTTACATTAATCGCTGATTTTTTTTGGTACTTACATTAGGAATAAACTGTTCAAGTCTTCCTTCGGGAAATATACCATACAACTCTGGGGCCATCTTTTTTTCAGCTAAAAGGCCACAAATGATGCATTCCTCCATCATGCGAACATTGTTGTCAGACAAATCTGCATAGAATGCACCATATAGCCGAAGCAGTGCTTTGTTCACACCATCAGGATTTGAATTTGCATATTCATGTGGCAGAGAGCACAGAAACAAATGATTTGTTAATCCACCACTGTAATTGTTAAAAGCATATTGGTTAAAATAATCACTCAAACTATGCTTTCATCTCTTCTGAGTGGTAAGTTTATCAACAAAAGAACAACGATAAGCAAGCATAGAGGTAAGATTAGAGCATTGGTTAGATAAATATACAAAATAAGCCCATTCTTAGATTAATCATATCTTACAAGATTTTTTCTTCCGGAAATTAATTTCTAAATCAAAGGCACTATTATGATGGTATTTTGCATATAAAACAAGGATGCTTATTTTATTTCACGTATGTATTCTGCCTCCACCCCTGAACACAACTATAACAACTTTAAACAAGAAAATATCAGACATAAGAAATATCAGACATGGAAGTTGGAAATTACAAAAAAACTAGCTGCACTTGAGAAATTTTATCACTTTCATGGGAAGACACCAGAGAATTCTGCAATAGCAGAATTCAGTGTTTATTTGGCTGGCATAATTGCTGGAGAAATTTCTACATATTAAGATGAACATGGACTTTAGATGTGGCTTTTTACACACCCAAGATATCTTTTTGAAATCCATCACACTTTGCAATCTGCAGCCTTGCTAAACTACAGAAAATCTTGCATATCGCATCGAAACATATAAATCTTGAGAAGAAATTTAGTGTGGCAGCTAACACAAACAGCCCAGTACTCTTTAAAATGTTGGCAATAGAGATATAGAGAACATTTTCACCTTGAATATCATTGAGAACATTTTTACCATTAAATAATTGTCGCCCCATCTAAACAATATAGTTCTTACAGTTACGTATTTGAAAATTGTACTTACTGAATTCGTTCAATTTCAAAATGTTGTGGACTGATTTTCTTCCATTCCCCACCGAGATATTTTCGACATAAATTATAGCCGAAATCTTTGATCTTAACGTCAACCATTTTTCCAGTAAGAAAATAATTTTTCAAACCACGCAGAACTTTGTAGCGAGGCATGGTCGAAACCAGCCAAGCAACAACGCAGTCATTTTAGTGATGGCTTGAGAAATGTGTCGAATTTACTCGGGAAATGACAACAATCACTGATTCTACGGTCGTTGAAGGTCGATCATGAGATCGTTTGGTAAAATGAGGTGTAAAATTGCAAGAACTTTGCACAAAGTACATGCAACAAATGACATGATTCAACGTAAACAAAGCTTTAGCCATGTGATACTTATTCATTCGTGCACAGAAGGCGGTCTACCATTTCCTGTTATGAAGTGACGTGTAAACTTCATCCGTCAACATCACAATATCATATCCAACAAAACTAATCGTGAAAACGCAGAGCCAAAGGACTTCTAGAAAACGATTAACATGGTAATGAAATGTGCTTTTGGCTCTGAAAATGACTACCGCTAAGGTTGTCGAAACGTCAGTCAACAACAACAAAAACAGTCCTTCTCAGGACTATACCAACCTGGACGATCTACATTTACAAACATGTAACGATACTCCCGGGTTCAAACCATTTACTTGAAATGTGCATTGCTTACAGTAATAATATTAAGTAATTAAATTATCATCGTTTATTAGTAATTGCAAGTGATTAGTAATAGCAAGAAATGTACTGCAACCAGTGGCGTAGCTAAGAATTTCTTTGACAGTGCAGATAGATAAATTTTCCTACAACAGGGCGTGGCAATTTGGGCGTGGCTAAAAGAAATGTATTTTTTAAAAATGGGGTTTATAAACTGTGTACAATTGAATATACATAGGGCTTTACAATTTTAAAAAAAACAAGTGCAACAAATGTGAAATAACAAATAATTATTGAAAAAATCTTTTAGTTTTGTCGTTCATGAAAGACACTTGAGGTTCTCGAATCGAAATTTTTGAAATAATTTCTCGCGGTTGATGGAAATACATGCGAGATTCGAAAGGCGCTTTTCTGTCATAGTACTGCTTATCTGTTTTTTTTTTATCGGAAATGATTAGTGACATTGGAGAATAAGGAAATTTGATGGACACTAGACTTAACACGTGAATATCTTTTACAAATTGCTACCTATATGTAAATTACTGCAAAGAATTTGATAAAAAGCTTTTACAAATGGCACACAATCTATAGCTATTAATTTTCTTGGTGAGAATGGCTTTAAAGTCCAAATATATTTCATTTTTGTTGTACAACTGAATAAATAATCACTTTCATCACTTTCAAAATTCCCACAGGTTTCCAAGTTTCCGACAAACACCATCAATAACGTTGAGCGCGGGGGGAGGTGTAGCGGCTGAATTTTTGTGAAAACAATCAAAAAAAATTTTATCCAATCTGAATGAATGAGAAAACAATTTTAGCCAATCTGCATTGCGTTTGAGCATTCAAAAATATGACGAATGTTTAGATAAGTATCCTAGCATAGGTTTTGAGAAATATTTGGCGCAAAACCTGAAAATATTCGCATTTTTCATATGCATGGAAATACATTTTAATCTAAAAAAACTGCAAAATGCAGTAAAATTATTCGTGACTAATGAGATGTATTTTTTCGTGGTCTTCCATCTAATTATAAGATATTTATGGTTTTGTGAAAGTGTTTCTGTTAACGGTCGTTAAATTTGTATTGAGAGTTGCCTACCTTGTCAAGACCTTTAAGACCATACATACGTGTAACTCACGCGAGATTGCGTACGTAACAAACATAACAAACATTGCATATAAATCAAGAAATATACTTACTACATAAATCGATTGCATAAAAAACATAAACAGATTTCTGGGCCGCCAAAGGTAGGACATGCAATACTGGAAAGTTTCTACCTGTTAATGAAAGTGAACTAATATCTTCTACAATCTTAGGGAGAAACTGAAAAATTCTCTGTTGGCCTTGTACAATTCCTTGTACAAGAGTACTCTTCTCGCAACACTCCATCCGTATTTACAAATTTTGCAGAGTACACTTTAAATCTTCTTGCATGCAAATCTCTTGTAGTGATTGCTTCCTCTTCACTTTCAAAATCAGATTCCTCGTCCTAAAGCAAAGACACTGGTATGTATTTTTTCATGTCTTTAGCAAGATCGTGAACATTTCCCACTTCTATATACCACTTGAGCCAACGAGCTTAAAAAGTATAAGTATGATTCATCGATATTTCTTTAAACAACATCTCCAGAAGACTCGGTTTTGTTACTCGATTGTTTTGGTATTGAAACCTCGTCTTCGCCAGGGGTATAGAGCTTTTATCGTCGTCAACATGGTTGGAATCATTCGCATTTTCTTTGGTCCACGAGTCACATTCCAAATTCTCGAGTGTACGCTAGATGCTTCAACTACGTTCAGTTTCATCAAGCTTTCTTCAACCTACAAACGACTTAATTACCAATAACTTAACTAAGAGTTACTTAAAACATACCCACGTGTTACAAATATCTCAACAAGTTTCCAATAACATACCAACGAATTACCATCGAGTTACCGCTAGCAACCTACTTTTAGTTTATATAGCTACATTGCTTAAAGCTCAACAGCAAGTTTGCGAACTATTCTCAACACAGTAAATAGTTCATCAAAAAGTATGAAGCATTTTAAACACTAAAACGGATACAAGTCAAAATATGAGAAATCATAGACTGCTGCAGCTGCTTTTCTTCTTCAAGGAGATAAAAAGGAAATTTATATTTTGATACAAACACGCAACATTTGAAAGCTCAGATACTGATGTTTTTTTATGGTAAAAAATCACGGAAACTTATTTAGTAATTTTAGTTATGCACAAGAGCGAGCTGTAGTTGGATTGCTTTTTTGCGACACGGTTTCAGTAAATACTATACCAAGTCCAAATAAAAATCCATCTGTCAATCAATCAACACGAATAAAGACTGTAGAGATTTATTTTATTATAAAGACTATAAGCAATAAACTCTACGACAAAATACATAAATTTCACTACAGATATATTCATTATCGTCATGAAATCATTACTTTACTAAAAATTTCCTGATGGTTTCATTTTCATTTCAGTGAATTTTAAAGAATACGAAAATCCTTTCCAATCTTTCCAAACAACACCTTTGTACCAAGATGCAGAAGGCTGATAATTGCCATGATAATAATACCCATTTAGGTTGGAATCATAACAATAATAATACCACCAAGCACCTTTAGCATGTACAGCGCAGTTTCCGACAACATCTGTATCGTTATCTGAATCTTTTGTCGTAAACGCTTTGTTTTTATGGGCGGATAATGAATCCCCAGCAGTTCCTAAATGGCGATAATTGTATTCAAGAGAACACACAGTTAACAGAAAAGTCTTTTATAACGCATTACATTTTGCTACTACAGTCTTACTTGAATGCTTGTGTAATATTAACGTTTATTCAATGGACAATTGACAAAGATATTTACAATAAAGATGTTCTTTTCGTACTAACATGTTTCTCATCGCTTAGTTGTTTGATTATGTAGAGAAATATTTAAACTAATATACCAAATTTACCTGTGTTTTCATAAAAAATATGTTCAGACCCTTGCTCATAATTTGATGTACACAAAGCTGAAGCTGAATTTGTAATTTATTTTAATGAGTAAACTAGTCCTTATCCTTGAATGTCTCTAGTATTGCTTGTCAGAAGTAGTTGCTGCAGTTTGTAATTTAGTTGCTCTACTGGTATTTTCAAAACTGTATACACACGACAAAATAATTTTTGATTTACCAATGGGGTTGTTTATTGTATTTTATAAGTTTAAACAATATATTGTTCCTATGACAAATATTTACCAAAAAAGGTGAATCAGTTCATACAAACTCCAAGCACCCAAGGCATATTTTAACTTAATGCTGATATAATTTTTATCATATTGACCTTTAGAATTTTGTGTGCTTTAATTGTTTGTATTTGCCTATTGACTTACCAGAATATTTTCCAAGTCTCAATTGATATTTTTTATTTTCATTCTCTACAGCAAAATAATCATATTCAGCATATCTTTTATTTCCTGACGTGTCTCCAAGATCAACACGAACTTTATTTTCCCTTGCAGATGTTAGTCGGTATATTTTCTCGAATCCAAGCCAGAATTCGCCTTTCAGATCACCAAAACCTTGTTTATAGTCTTTCCAACCTCGATAGAAGTTTACACTTCCACACGATATATAGTCGAACTTCATTCCAGTGCTGTTGGAATGAAGTTCGACTATATATGTCTTAAAGTGAATGGTTTGAACCTGGGAACTCTGAAGATGACTACCGCTAAGGTTGTCGAAACGTCAGTCAACATCAACACGAACATTCCTTCTTAGGACTTTATTGTCATGGGTGATCTACATCTAAAAACATATATATATATACGTCAAATGTCATTTGTGACTGTTGTAGGACATCCAACCGTGGTTAAATATGATTAACAACAGAATTGAAATTTGTATTATAGGCTATAACGTCTTACCAAATAAAATAAGAAAATTGAGCAGTTCTTTTTGACAGTTGAATGGTGAAATTTTACGGTCTATTACAAATTGTAAGGGAGAGAAAGTCGTTTGATACGTAGTTTTTGGCTTGCGCTTGTAGCCAACCATTGCATCATTTGCATATTTAAATTATTGGTTCTCTCTTGCACATTAAGTATATAACTTTCACGCAAAAGCCCTCAAGAGCGTTAACTGTACCACATAAAAATGTTTCTACCTTTTTCAAACTTATTTCTGATTCATTTTTGTATACAATACGTAATAGAATATATGTCTTTCAATACTGGCTCCTTAAACTTATCCATTCTAAATTTAATCACTATTGTCTATAAAATGATTTAAAAGTGGCAGGTTTGCATGTCTATCCTACGATTTAAAACTTTTGCCATTAACCTTAAATGATGCCCAAGTATTGACATGCAAAAACTGGTATTTGCGATAGATTTCAATTGTCTCGGTTGCCTGTTTTGACCAAATCTCCCCAGTAATCTCAAATATATATGCATGTTCTACTTTGGTTGCTCCTAACAGTCGATTCATTTCAATTGAATTCATGATCCACGTTTAGATATACTAAAAGCATAGAAACCTACATTGTCTTATATTTTTAAGCTTTTGTAAGTTACAAGAAAAATATGCATGTGTATATGTTTTCAAAGTTCCTTTGTCGACGCATCCTTGTAAAAATCTCACTTTTGAAATATGTTTTTCCATATCTGTACATTATCATACATTAATAATAATGTCGATTTCGACATATGAGGGTTCCACGAAGTGGAACATCATGGTTACTTAAATTATAGTGAAGGCAGCTGACCAGACTACAATCACTCGTACATTTCACGCAACTACAACGCTGATATCAGCGTGACACATTTGTGACAAGGCTGCAACATTGCAGATGCAGATACAGTCCATCCGAGGACATAGTTTCCTCTACCAAATTTCCCTCACATGGCTTTGGTCAACCCGGGCGAGGTTTACAGACACATTGCCAGATGTGCCACGAGCCGGGATTGAACCAGCGCCGTCTGGCTTGCAACTCACGCAATTAACCATTCAGCCACCCGCCCCGTCCCGTATCATACATTAGGGCATTGTCAATCGCTTAAAAAATGTTTTGGGATAAAGAAACAACAGTCTCAACCTCAAGGCCGAAATATGTCAAAATGTCATTATACGAAGTTTGCATTCTGTACAGTTCTTGCTCGCTGGGTTAGAATGTCCATCTTCTAAAAGTGTTTTTCTCGCGATATGACTCTAGCCAGTCACATGCTGCTTTCATTGATGAATTCATTGGTCCCTGTCCGCCCACGTATGCGACTTTACCTTCTTCGATGGCGTAGAGTCTCTCAGGCAACGCTCCATAGGCCACATTTGCATTGTCGTCCATTGTATCTGCCATTATTTGACATGGAAGATTGGGTTCTTGTAGCTTTTGCGCGGCTTTGCATCTTTCATATTGATTTCGATGCTTTCGTACTTTGATAAAGTTATTCTAAAATGAAGTGAAATTAGCTTCCTTCATGACTTTATCAAGAAATCTTATGACATGTTTTTCTCTACACAAAAGATTGTCAAATAATGAAACAGACGATTCTTTTTGAAACAACATCTTTGTTTTTGCCTAATGAAAGTATAGTTCAATAGAAGTGCACTATTTCTGCCTTTGAAAAAGGTCCCGTTTTTATCAGTAAGATAAAAAAGCTATTATTATGTCAGCAGAACATATTGTCTGGCTATATAGCCTACTAAAATGTTATGAGTGTTTGCAAAAGATTTTTACCTGATGAAATTTATATGCTTCGTTATTATTATTATGGTTATACAAAGAATGTTTTATAAATCACAAAATTGCTGTAGCCGTTTAATTTCTCTTTCATGTTATACTGGAAAAACTATTATTCATAATGAATAACGTAGCTATAATATAACTCTACGATTTTCATCAATTCAAAATTATGTTGAAGAAATAATAGAATTTACCTTGAAGACCATGCATCAATTGGATGAGCTTCTTCAATATATACAACGACAAAATCCAAGATATCTGAAACGTCTTGAGCTAGAACACCAAATTCTTTCAGTTTATTCATAAACACTGGGCAACTACAACTGCCAAAGTACACGACTAATGCTCTCTCAGCTTAAAGTAAATCAAGTAAACGCACACATTTCTTTCCATCGGGTGTTACCAAGGGAACATTTTGTGCCTCCAGTCCGTTTCGCATTTCCTTTGTAATATCGACAACTCTTGATTTCCAAACTGACTTAAACATTTCCCATCCAAGAAATGTTTCCCAGTAGTTGGTTTTAGGGATATTTAATCCCGTCACTTTTCTCATACCATTCTCGAGCACAAACCCTAAACCTAGTTATTCATGAAAATCATAAAACATTAATCATGATCATTTTGACAGAAAAAAGGAAGAGATGCCATATATTGGTGTGAGAGTTAGTGCACCATTATAAGGCTTTTTTGTTGTGTGAAAGGACGTACTTGTTTATCAAGACAATATGTATGTGATTAGAAAAAAGTTTTATGGTTGATTGGACAAGCAGCACAAAGCCCATGTTTGAATTTAAGAACAGTCCAAATGCACACAAAATTTTATGTTGCACAAAATACGTATGAACTAGCTGTCTAACATAAGATTGTATTACATTTATATCTATATACGAGTATCTATAATGTATATGCCATTTTAAACTACGAATTCCGAAATTTTATGTGAACTTGTAAAAGCAATTTGATCCACCGTTACTAGCTTGACCATTGTTCTGCGAGGTCTACATTTTAGGCCCCCTTTACAGAGCTTACAAGCTTTTTACTTCTGCTATCTGTATATTTAGTTTATAAAATTTTACATCTGTAAGGTTTGTAAATTTTAGCTTGAGCTTATTTGCCTGCATTACAGGAAAAAATGACCGAAGAAACGAATGATTGTTTTGGTTAAGGCGTGATATATAAACAACGTAGGTTTCTCACCTGGAATATGATAAAATATGCTACAAATAGCAAAAATGACTGTTACTTCAACGGTAACTCAACATTTGACTGCGATCCTGTACATGCTTTCACCTTTCATGTCTGTCTTGCTTGAAGTCTAAGTGACTGGGAAGATTTCAATTCATTCATTTAGTGTATTTGAAAGTTCTTAATTTGCATTTTTATTCTTTTAAAAAGCGTAAAATCACGGTATAATATTTCCTGTTCTCTGTTTTCATGGGACATTTCAAATGCCAGGAATAACTGAATACACATGAATAACGGACCAACAACCAGAAATTTTCTCTCACAAAAATTTCCATGCCTAATCCTTGAAAGAAAAGTAAAATGTATGCGAGACATGTTCTGAAAGTTTCGTGCAAAGAAATCATGTCATAGCAAAATAACATGTAATAAACTTTAATATTCAATGCGAATGACCTAGATACGATAGTGTTAATCACGCTCGTAAAATGACCACTATTGTGTTTGATAGTTTCATCCGTGCCAGCAAATGTTTGTAACGATGGAAAACATCAAGGAAGAAAATTCAGAACATTCTTTACTCTATATAGGCATAGACGTTTTAAAGCATTTTTATATTTAATGAATGCAATCGAACTTACCGTAAAAGGACACCCTTGAGACCAAGACTTGGTGTTCTGTTGTCGGAGGTGTCCGCTTATGACATGTTTGTTAATTTGTGCATAATTATAAAAATTTTTTTGAATATGACTGTTTTTACAATGTTTTGAAATATGATTATATGCTTGATAACGACTGAAAAGTCCAACATCTGTACAGTGAAACGTTTGAGTCCATAGACGTTATCATATAACAAATTCATCATGTATATTGTCATTGTACAGACACAATGCTTAAAGTTCACATGACATGAAAAAATTTTCTTTGAGGAACATAAATGCGCAAACCTGGAGAAGAAACTATAGTGGTTCATTAAGAAAAATGAAGGAGACGAAGGAATTTACATGCATTACAAAACAACATTATTTATATACTGTAATATGTCAATTAGTCGGGATAATTACTAATTTGACTGAAAATAGATCAAGTGCAACCGCTTACAACAGTTTATAATGTTGTTTGTGAAAGTTGTTTTGGTATTCACCTCCGCTAACGAAAGGTCGTAAATGTGTCTTCACATACAAGAGGTCTTGGATTTTGAGAAGTGTCTAAGTTTCTCGACTGTATACGATTTTTTCATACTGTATCAACCCTAAATATGGTTTTCAATTATTATTTGGTATATTTATGAATATATAAAAAATTTTTGTTCAAGTTGTGTGTTTCTTAGTCAAATGATTTTCGACAGATGAGAGTAGAATTATTACATTAAAGATCAGCCGGTATAAAGACGGTGGACGTAGTAGGAGAATAGAAGTAAAACATTAGTGATCGAACAGTATAAAGCTAGGACCATAGAGGTAGGAGAATACAAGTAAAACATTAGTGATCGAACAGTATAA